GGGGGACGAGGGCTGGTGCGGCGGGGGCTCAGCGAGACACAACCCGGGTAACGGTCCGTCCCCCCTCCAGGCCGCCGTTGCCCCGGTTCCGCTGCCGCCCCCAGCGCGGGCCGTTAGTGCCCGGTGCCCGGGCCGCCTCCCGCCCCGCACGGCAGCCGGGCCGCCTGGGTTCTGCCAGCGCCTCGGGCTACACGCGGCCCCTCCTTGGGAAAAGCAGCAGGTCTGAGTCAGGGGAAAAACATGGATTTAAATTGTCTGCAAAACGTGTTCTGGCTTTGAGGGGGGGGGTTTGGCTTTGGGTTTTTTTTCCAAGAGCAAAGAGGCTCTGACCCCTCCCAGGCCCGTGGAGATGCTGAGAAGTGCCCTGTCTTCCTGCCTGTCAGCAGCCTGGACACAGCTGCCCTTTCCTGGCTGCTCCTGCTGCTCCTCCGGCAGGAATGTCATTGGAGCTCCGGGTGCTGCAGCACCTGGCAAGTCCTTGATGGCAGTCCTGAAAGTTTTAGGGCTACTGTGGATGTGAAGGGATGTGTTCCCCACCACTCTCAGACACGAGTGGGTGAGGCTGTGCTGAAGTTTGGATCCTGCACTGCTCCTGCCAGGCCCTTGCCCTCCCTGGGTACCCCAGTGGGGCTGTCATTTCCCCATCCCAGGAGGGAGCTGAGCAGGCAGCCAGGCCTGCTCTGGGCCGAGGTGAGAGGTGTTTGGAGCAGAGGATCCAGCCATTTGCTGTAAGGAGCTCCAGGGGGAGCAAGGGGTTTGTCTCTGCCAGGAGCAGGAAAAAAGAGCCTGTGCTGGGCCCAAGCTCAGCCATGTTGCCAGGGGAGGCTGACACTAAAGTTTGGGGCTGCTATCCCACAAGCTGTCCCAACCCTTTGGCCAGGCAGCAGGGTGTTTGCCCCTGATTTCTTGGGCTGGTGCCAACGAGCATCTTTTCCCCTTCTGCTCTGGGGCAACAGCACCACCATAGCAGAGATCCCTGGCAGGGATGACTGAGGCACTTTACCATTGCTGACAGCACTGACCTCTCTGTCCCCACAGGAGATCATCGATCTGACCTGTGAGGACACAAGCACAGACCTGGCACCATGGAGCAGCCCCATCATCATCGACCTGACAGAGGACACGTGCAGCACACCCCACACCACCAGCCATACTAACCAGGACTCTGGCTATGCCCCAGCAGCACACGTGTCCCATCCTCGGCTCTGTTCCACCCCAAAACAAGAAAGAGAGGTGACAGCAGGGCCAAGCCCTGCAGCAGCCTGTCACAGCACTCCCAAGGAGCCTGGTGCCATCATGGGCACAGCAGAAAGCGCAGAGAACTGGAGCAGCTGCTCTCCTGCCTCCAACCACCACAGCCTCTCCTGCAGCCCAGAAGAGAACTGCAGCACTACCACTTTTAACAGTGACTTGGGCTCCCTGGCCAGCATGCAGCTGGACTCAGACCTACTGTCCCCGTCTCCCTGCAGCCTGGACAGCAGCAGCAGCTGCAGAGCTGGTGGCCCAGAGGAAAATACTTCCCATCTCTGCCAGCAAACTGGCAGAGAACTGCCCCCAAGGCTGAGCCCTGTCCCAGCCATCCCCACAACCCCAGGAAAGGCCCAAGGGCCTTTGCTGGAAATAAGTGACTTACCCCCACTTAAAGCAATCCAACAAGCAACCCCAGCCCAGACCAAGGCTGACAGCAAAGCCTGGCTGAACAAACTGCACTGTTTTGGGAGGACTAGAGTCCAGCACCCCTTCACCCAAGACGTAACACCCAACAGGGAAATGCCATCCTTGTCCCCCTCCAGCCTGGACAGCAGCTGCAGAGCTGGTGGCCTAGAGGGAGAGGCTCCCCATCTCTGCCAGCAAAGAGAGCTGCCCCCAAGGCTGAGCCCTGTCCCAGCCATCCTCACAGCCCCAAGGAAAGCAGAAGACCCTTTGTTAGAAGCAAGTGACTTGCCACCACTTACAGTAACCCAACAAGTGTCCCCAGCCAGGACCAAGGCTGACAGCAAGGCCTGGCTGAACAAACTGCACTATTTCAGGAGAAGTGGAGTCCAGCACCTCTTCCTCCATGGAGTATCACCCAACAGGGAAACAGCACAGGTAAACGGGGTTCAGAAGAGCTGCTACCAAGCCAGCTGAACCATGCTCAGAGCAGCCCCTACAGTAAAGGATGGAGCCAGGGCAGCTGCTGCTCTGATTCTCCTTTTGGGGGAAGCTTTGCCAGGGTGTTGGGATCTTTGCTTATTGTAGTTTCCTTCACAGTGGGTCCCACATCACAGCTGGGTTCCTCTGTGTCAGAGTTGGCTTTCACCCCTTGCCTTGCACACAGCAGAAACCTGAGCTCATCCCCAGTGGGAAGATGAGAATGGTGAGCACCACCATGGAGGAGAACTTCCTGGAGGGCACCTTGCATTTCCTGAGCGAGTTCGTCTCCCGCCAGCACTATCCCCCCAAAGATATCATCTCCCACTTGATCAGAGAGATCCTGTTGAACCCCCACCAAGGGGAGACCCTGAGGGACATCTACATGCTGCTGATGAAGATCCAAATGTATGTGTTCCCTTTGCCATGGTTCTCTGGGGCTGGTTGTGTGCTCCCTGGTTATTTTCCACAGTCCTCACCCACAGAACAGTGAGCAATTTTCACTATAAATCAGGATGATTCTCCTGCCCCTGTTAGCACAGGCACATCTTGGGCTGTTCAAGGGTGGGGTCATGACCACTGCTGGCCCAGACAGCAGCCACTAAACCCCAAAGTGGATTAAGGACAGGAGAATAAGAGGGGCAGGAGATTCTGAGACAAGAGGAAAAGCAGCTCCAATTACATCATGAGTGTGCTTTGATCATTCAGTAGCAAACCCGTACAGTGCAGGGACAGCCTGTGACACCAGGCGCCCTCTAGCACAGAGGAGTATGTTTACCTTGCTCCTGGAGGGCAGATCTCATTCTCACTGCTGTGACACAGCAGAAACACCTTCCCTGGGCTGCAGCAGGGGCCATGGGCTGGAAGTGGCTGGAGCAGTTTTCCCACTGCCCTCAGGCAAAGAGGGACAATGTTTCAGGAGGCCATAGACCCAGAAGTGCTTATGGTTTCCGTGGCAAACAGGCCCAGCTAGATGCTTCCAAAAACTGAACATGGTCAGGGAAGGAGAAAGGGAGAGAGAGGGCAAAGCTCAAGAGGGGAAGGCAGGGCAGGCCTCTGAGCAAGTGGGGCTGGGGAAGGGCCAGGGGCTGCTGTGCTTCCCAGCAGACAGGCAGTTGAGCACAAATGAACAGTGCTATCCTTACAGGCTCCATCCAGCCAACACTGCCACGGTGGGATGGGACTGGACACTGCTGAAACACACCATGGAGGACCAGGTACTTGACACCTTGTGTGTTACTTCTGGAAGGTATAATCCAGTACATGGTTCCTGAGGGTAGGCAGTGCCCAGGGCCTCATGGCTCTGCTGCAGGATAGGCCCATCCAAGATGCAGTTTTACTGCAGCTGCTGAGGGCAGCCAGTGTCAGTTGGGTCTCCTGCTTTTATCAGCAGTGCTCCCTAACCTATGGCACAGCTGTAGGCATGTTGTCTCATCTGAAGACACAGCAAGACACCCCTCTGTGGGCCACAGCCCTAGTGCAATTGTAGGCAAGACCTGGCCAGACCCCCAGGGCATTACCTGAGCCAGGCAGCCCTTCCTGAAGCTACTCCTCAGTCATGTACATCAGCCCATTCCTGAGACAGCCAAATTGTTGCTTCTTGCTCTGTGGTTCAGTCAGGCTCACACAGTCTCCCTCTGCCCTCAGGAGAAGCCCCCCGGCCGGCTCCTCTTCCTGCAGTACGTGGTGCAGACCCTGGAGGATGATTTCCAGCAGAACCTGAGGCGGCGCCTGCTCCAGAAATCGATTGCCAAGAAAGTGCTTTCGTGTGACATGTGCTTCAACAACGTCAAGTAAGAGATGCCTCCTCCTCCCCTCTTCACTAACCCCATTCTGAGGCAGGGGCTCAGGGAAACACTTGTCAGCACTCCAGGGCAGACTTTCAGACTTTCCAGGAAACAAGCTTGGGAGACAGAGGGAAGTGTAGGGCCCAAGTGTAACCTGCAGGAGGTTTACAAAGGCAAACCACCAGAGATGATACAAGATATTTCCAACCACAAGCTAGCAGATTTTTCTCAGGAGAGAGCTCAGATCTATATTGCTCAGGACAGGACTGAGAAGGAGACAGTCCTATTGACAAGCATATGAATCTGCTGCTCAAACAGAACTACTCCCTAGTTTGTCCAAGTGGGTGGGATATATTCTTCATCCTCAGGGTCTCTCCTTGAGCTCCAAGTAGATCTAGAGGTCAGTATGCAGCAAAATCGGATCTGTCCCTGCTAACATTCCTGTTTCTGTCCCAGGGAGGTGGTTCAATGGTTGGTCGCAGCAGTTACAGGATTTGGGTTCTCCCAGCCTCAGGAGCAGCCACAAGAAATTACATCCTCTTCAGCAGAAGCAAGGGCTGAACGCAGCTCATCTGCACCATGGCTGGCCAGCACTGACCAGGCAGAGGTGGCTCCAGCTTTCTTTGCCCAGAAGTAAGCCCTAGAATTCCTGGCTCCCTGCTGTCAGTATCATGGGGCCCAAGTCAGGGAGTCTCCCTGTCAGGTCAGGGAAGTCAGGCTGTACCTGAAGTCCTCCTTTGGGGTAGATGCACACTTGGTGAGGAAGAGACATCCTCATCTGGTAGGAAACTGGCTCAGTGAACATTTTCCTCTTATATGTAACATAAGACTGGAGGTCTTGGCCCATTGTCAAGGCTGCCCCATGGTGCTCCACCAATGCTCAGTCTAGCCACTGAGACCTCCTGAGGGCTCATCTGGGGATAAGCTCTGCTTCCAAGAGCATCAGATTCAAAAGCCGCCAAGAGATACCAAATCTAGCTTGCTACATTCCCCTGCATCCCTCACTGAGGCATAAGGCTGAACAAGGTGGTATCCCCACTGCTTTACTTGGCAAGCTGTGCAGCAGTGTCTCCTGGTGTTGACTGTCTCTCTAACCTAGGGTGATGCTCCTGCTCCAGAGGATGTTGTCCCTTGCAGTGGAAGTGGACAAATCTCCCAACTGCAGCTCCTGTAAGATCGCAGATGTGATACTCCCATTTATACTGAATATTCCTCTGAGGAGCCAAAGGTGAGACAAATGTGCAAGGCAGCATCTCCCTGTGTGAGCAATAGTCTTATTCCCAGTTTACATCCAAGTCTATATACATAGAATACCACAGGGTATGGAAAGACCCAGCCAGCAAACACATGGCTGTTGGACTGACATCCAATGGAGACAGAACCTCACAGCTGAATGCATCTTCCCAGCTCATGTGTTGCTGAGAAAAGTTGATTCTCCCACTTTTTCAAACGGCAGGATCTTAGAACTGAAGAGGTTATGAAAAGCAGCCCCCTGCATCAGCACGGTCAAGTAGTGCAAACACGTCACTGATTCCCAAGGACAACTGAAGCTCATTAGAAATATGATGCAATTCTTGCAGCTTTACCTTGACATGCTTTTGTTTGCTTCTCTAGTAAATGTAATATCTGAAGCCAAAGCATAAGGGTCTGACTGGCTCTAGCACAGACATGAGAACACAAGACCCACAGACATTTCAAACCCATGTTTGCCAGCCCCAGCAGGCAGCCCTTTTGGATGCTTTTAGCAGAACTCTGAGCACAAACTGGGTCTAAACAAGCCAAGGTGACCCTAACTAAGCTATCATTCCTTCCAGGACAGGTCACAGAATCATGGAATGGTTTGGGTTGGAAGGAACCTTGAAGACCATACCATATAGTACCAACCCCCTGCATAAGCAGGGACACCTCCCACCAGACCAGGTTGCTCCAAGCCCCATCTGACCTGGCCTTGAACACTTCCAGGGAAGGGGCAGCCACAGTTCTCTGGGCAACCTGGGCCAGTCTCTCACCACCCTCACACTAAAGAATTCCTTCCTCATGTCTAACCCAAATCTACCATCTTCCAGTTTAAAACCATTACCCCTTGTCCTATCACTACATGCCCTTGTAAAAAGTCTCCTAGATCCAGCTGGCTGCTGACCCCACTTCACACTTCCTTGGCTGTGCTCCCTGCAAGGCAGCGGGAATGAGTAACTTCAGCACAGGCTGCTGGGCAGGGTGAAGTGAAGCAGCCAAGCATGCTTCACAAACTGTACAGACCTCAAGTTGCCAGAGGTCAAACCTAAGGATGTAAACATGTCCATGGCCAAACTGCATAATGAAGGTCTGTCACAGCTAGTGGTTTTCCTTCCACTGCACAGCTGGAAAGTCCCTGCACCAGATCAGCATCAGTAGGACACCAGGAACATACTAGAGCAGTTGTCTTTGTTCTCCCCCAGAGTAAATCCCTTTGTCTTCCAGGGAGGCTTTCATTAACACCATGGAGAGCCAGCTCCTGCGCTGCAAACTGCTAGAGCTGTTGTTCCAGCACAGCTGTGACGTGCCCACAGCCCTGCCCTTGTCTCCAGCCAAGATCCTGTACTTCCTGAGCCACTCCTCTGTACTGCTGCAATACCAGGTATCCAGTCCAACCTTTCATTTGCCTTGTTTTCTCCTGAGACAACCTTATCTGATAACCAGATATTATTTCCCATCACAGGAGGAAACAGCAACATGGCAAAGATGGGATGAGATGCTACAGTACTTGAGTTTGCTGCTGATGAGTTACCAAAATGTAATAATGGGTAAGGAGCCTGTTTTGGCCTTAATAAACACAACCTCATCAAGAGGCTGCAGTAGAACAGCTGAAGGACCCTTCCTCCTCTCTTCTCATCACTCTTGAACTCACAGCCACCAAGTCTTAGAAAGATGATGTTCCTCTGTCCATGCTAGTAACTATTCCCAGCAGTCAGCAAAGAAGTGATGTTGCATCAAGCAGAGCACCCAACCTGCTTTGCCAAGTTTAGCCCTTAAGAAATAGCCTATTTTCAATCCTAGCACCAAACACTATACCCCAGGAGAGCAGCACAGCCACAAGACAATTAGAACTCCCTGAAGTTGTTCGACCAGAAAATTCATGAAGCCTCTCCCCAGCTCTAGTTGCTTTAGCCCAGAGTTAAGGCTCTCAAGGAGGAATGCAGAGGAACTCAGAATCACATGCATAATCTTACTCTTCCTGAAGCCCTAGACAATCACTGTTCTTAGCTCTTTAGAGACCCCTTTGGAGCTGGACAGCTGTCCAGTCTGCCACTAGCAGAGGAGAAAAGGATGCTACAAGCCCTGTCCCCCTCCCCATTTCTTGGGCTTTCTCCATGTGCAGACTGAGAGCACTTTCTTCCACCAGGCTAGTCTTGTGCAAAAGCATCAAGGATAACCCTGAGAGAAGCAGCGCAGCTCCCAGGGATCTGTCCCTGGTCAGGCCACTGTCTGTGCCTCTCCCCACCAGCCTTTCCTCTTGCAGAGCACTTACGGAGCTCCCTCAACGACCGGATGGACTTGATCATCCAGAAGGCCAAGCCCAAGCTCCAGGACAGCAATTACATCAGCCACCTGGACATTGAACTGAACATCAAGGACTTCATCAGCCGAATGCAGCAGATCCTGGAGCAGCCTTTTCCCCTGCAGATCGAGGAGAAACTGTGCATGCTTCAGGAGCTGTTTCTCATTGTCACTGCTACCTGATGGAGACACCCACTGGGGCAGGGGGTAGAAAGAATTTCATATTCCCTCTACAAAAGTCCCATCAAAACCCCCCCTCACAGGCTGCAGTCTCAAGTGTCATACATCACGTGGGCTGGGAAAAAAAATGGCTGGTTTACATGGTCTCAGTTTCATTTCAAACTTGCCTCATCCTACAGTTTTACAAGGCACTTCTAAAAAATAAATTATTTTTTGTATTTGCTGAGACTCTTCCATCTCAGTGACAGCCCTGCCCAGAGGAAGTGCAGAGCTGTGTCACCTCTACCTTGGGTTAGCAGTAGACTCACGCAGCCTTAAACCCTGACAACAGTTTGCACAGCAAGCAAAACACCATAATACATGTTCAGTATTTAGGAAAAGGTGATAAGAAAAATAGCAGGTGTGGGCAGCAGGGAGGGCACCCACAGTGCACAGATCCCCAAAGTAGTATGCTCATCAGTCCTCAGGAGAGTAACATTTCTCTTCCAAATAAAATACATCTACATAACATTGCCCAAGATGATTAGCATGTCAAGAGGCAGGACTGGATAGCAGCATCAGCTGAAGAGGCCTCTCCTAGAATGCACTGAATCTTCTGCAGCACAGGCAAACAAGCATGTTATGATGAGGACAAATATTCAATTCCAATACCCTGGCTTCAACTCCAGTTACAGCTGAGGTCAGAAAGCAATTAATCATTTCCACAGATCCCCTCAGACAGTTCAGAAGCACCAGAGCTTGGAGTGGGAGAAAGACTCTTTAGTTGTCCATCAACCCTTGACCTGCCCCTGTGGTAGGTGACCCCAGCAGGGTCCTGATTAGGAGACCAGAGCCTAGGAGCATCAAGCAGCAGTCACAGCCCGGGGTGGAGCAGGAGCAGTCCTGATGTTAGTGTTGCACACACTAAAGACTTGGTACTTGCTGCACAATGAGGCCTCATCCAGAAGCCTGACTTCAGTTAGCCCAGAACTGTTTGGAAGGGCCTGAGATGGGGCTCATTGCTTTGCTCCTTGTTCTGTAGGAAGCCTCTTAACTGCCAGGACAAACCACTCATCTCCATGACATTGCCCCTCTAATCCAGGGATAGCCATTCAGAAAAAAGAAGTCTATTTTGCAAAAAGGACCCAAAAGTACTCCCAACAGTGCAAACTCCCAAGTCCTCCTTGCTCTACAAAACTGCTCTTCCTACCTGGTAGGAAAACTTTTATCTACTCATTCAGGTGTATTTTCCAGTTAGGTCCTTTTAACTGGATTAGACATCTATCGTTAGTCTAGAAAAGAAGCCACATCCCAGCAAGAAGGCCATAATTATTTTTTGGTATGTTGGTTAAATCCCCAGGAATTATGTTTGAGTAAGATACAGTAAGTACAACAAGAGTATCACACCAAGAGTCCGCACTTTAACCCCATCCTTTCCAAACTAAACTATGAGGGTAGCCTGGGTAACCAAGACCTGCAGCAGCAGCCAGTACCAGAGCACCTGATACTCTGGGATCCATTGAATCACTTGCAGCTCTTCTAAAATTCTAGGAGCACAGAAACAGCTGAGTCCAGCTCACACATCCCCAACCCAGAGCAAACATTTTTACCCTAGTGCAAGTACTGCGAGAGCCTTACTAGGTAGAACCTTGACCCCACACTCTGTGCACCTCATGTCTTCCACAACCTTCACATCTGCCAGCATTAACACACACCAAGGATCTCCATTCACAGGTATTTTATTTTCTTGTAACAAAACAAAAAAATCACACATTAGAGACATGAATACAGACAACAAATAAATTAATGTCACATAAGAGTCTGATTGCCAAGGTGCAAATGAGTGGCGGTAGTGAAAACTGCTTGGTTGGCTGGGAGACCTTCAACACAACACATCATTGGCAGTGCTGTCAAAGCTTGAGAAGAAGCAGAGCCACTAAACCTGCTTTGGAGGGGACAGCAGCTACCCAAGTGAGCAACCCCTGCCTCACCTTCCAGGAAGAAGATTTGGTCTAAGACAGAAACCCCCAAAGCTCAAAGGTTACCAGCTGTTCAGTAACCTCTGCAAAATGTCCTGGCAACAGAGAAGCTTCCAGTACCAGAAGCAAGGTTGCTGCTGCCACCTCACCCCAGGGCACCTGCTGCTGGCTGAAAGAGCTCTGCAACAGCCAGGAGATCAAGAGGAGACCTGTTTGCCACAGGACAGGAAATTATTAGAGCAACACTGTCTATATAATGCTTAATGGGACTAGATGGTAGCCCAGGAGTTCCTTCCACTTCTCAGGAAAGCAAGTGTTAGCTGTTTCTAGCATCTGGTTCTGACTAGGCCAAAAACTACATCACTGTATCAGGGAGGAATGTTTAGCCTTGATCTGCCCTCAGTCCTTCCCCAGCCCTGCAAAATGCATTTAATGATAAAACAAAAAAAAAACCTATTTTAGAAGTGCCCCTGGTGTCTAATACACTTCTACATGATTCATACAACATGCTAGAAAAAAAACACAACAAATCAAGCAGCACCCACAGTGCCAGAACATCTAAGTCTGTTGGCTAGAAGGCAGGACAGTGTTGCTTTGCAGAAAGAAGAGAGGAGGATTACTTGGTTCAAGCCACACCAGCCCTGGTCATTTCCACCTTTTTGGAGGAACATGAGGAGTTGAAAGAGAATCAGTTCTTCCTGATTACTGCAATGCCCCATTAGATTCTGCACCTCCCTTTCTAATAAGAGCATCTTAGAATGGTCACTGCTCCACTTTTCCCTTAAAAAAAATTCCAAGAACAAAGTAGGACCGAGTGTTCAACTATCAGGTCACACTGGACACTGAGGGGGTGCCACATTTAAAACTGACCCACCACATTCCCAGAGCAACTTTCTTCTGGCAGGTAATGGTCCAGTTTTCTTGTTTTGCTTGCTTTCTTCATTTTATGTTGCTGTTCTATATATGCCAGACAGAACCATGGTCCTCCTGAGGGTACTTCAGCACTGAGCAGGACAAGACAATCAAGACTGCAGGTAGAGAAGCCAGCCTGCTTGCACACCACAAAACATGGCCCAAGGCTTTAGTGTGGTGTAGTGTACCAGGAAGTACATCTAGTGCAGCCCAGCAGACCAAACTGGTGCAGTACAGCAGACAGAATGATTTGCACTGGTTCAGAAGTGGTGCACAAGTTTTTCCAAGACTGGTTTTAGGTGAACAGTTACAACTGTTTCCTTTTCTGAGATGAAGAGCTGGGAGACTTTCCTATTTCACTGCAGCACAACAGGACCAGGAAGCAGAGCCTAAGACACCCTGTAGACCACTAAAGACACCAGAAGCTTTCTCCCTAGAACCCAGAAGGAGTGAGCACATTCAGATCCCGAGGTTTGATGTTATGGGAACGTGGAGATTGCTTCCTCCCTTCTGTGACTGGAATGTCCATTTTGGGTGGCTTGAAAGTGACTGGATTCTCTGGCATCCTAGTAGCCTGAGCACGCATCAGCTCCATTGGGGATGGCTTCTGGGCACCCTTATAGGATTGGATGGTAAATCCTCCTGATGAAGAAACAAATCACAGCAGGTAAGAGCTAGGAAAACTATCCTAGTCCTTCTTCCATTGCTGCCAGGAGTGAGCAGTGTCGCTGATGCCCAGCACTGCAGAAACCCTAATGCAAGACCCAGCAGCTTCATGACATCTGAAGACTATTCCACAGCAGTTCTACCAGACAACTTTCTACTCTGCTTTCTCTGCTGCCACCTTCACACCCTGCCCTTCCATGGCAGCTCAGTGCAAGTTACTTCTTCTTTCAGATCCTTGGCATAGGTTTTATCTAACTGCTTTCCATTTAGGCAGAAATTACATGAATAGCACACATTCACAGAGTGGTCCTAGAAAGTAACAAGACAAGATAAAGCTCCAAAAAAAGCTAGCAAGTTTGTTGTGAAACCACTCTCCCCCATCTCTTGCAGGACAGACTTTAGAGGACAAACCTGGATCAGTAGTGGATTTCTGAATGGCTTTGGGTCCAAAAAAGCTCCATCTTTCAGATAACAACTTGTCCCCACCAGCTTCCATGGCAAAGTCTGGGCCAGTGATAGAAGCAGAAGATCCCTGACCAAACCAACCCCTACGGAAGAAAGTCATTGAGATGTATAAAACATGAGAATATGCACTTCATGTGGCTCCACTGCACCAGGAACTTTACATGTCAGGGGTAACTTAAACTATTTTAATGGGTTTTTACCACCCAGGATGAAGACATGTATATTCAAGTTCCACAAGCTTTCAATGCTTGGATCTGTCCAACATAAATCCACCACAGGCTCTGAATGTTACCCCCCAGACAGTCCCTCAATGGATAAGAAGGTTATTTGTAGCAGCTCCCACCTCAGCAGCCTGTAGGAAACCAAAGGAGGCAGGAACAAGGTACCTGGTTTTATGCTTTGGAGAGGAGTGGGGAGTGCTGCTTGGAGTGGACTGAGCAGAAGAAGTCTGTTTGTCATCTTTTGACATCTCTCCACTCTGCATTGTTAGCTTCTGTTAGGAGAAGCAAGAGAAACACAGAAGCAACAGAGCTTAAATACAAAACATAAGGAACAAAACAACTAGTTTCATTGTCAAAATTGAAGTGTTTATACCACAGATGATAGAGGATTCAAGAATCACTTAACCTGAAGCTAAACCTAGTATTGCATACCCTCCTGAAACTTCTGTCCACATCAGATATAAACATTTTGGAAGTCCACTATGCTCAAGACACCCTCCAGGCTAGAGGAAGTAAATTAATACCTACAGCTCACTTTGCAGTTAAGAGTGTCTACCCACCAGTAACACACTGCTTCCATACCAGCATCCACAGGGAGGCTGCAGGTGCAGCAGAGCTTACACATCAGTTGAGCAACCTGGTCACAACTCTGAATGCCACAGCAGCCATTTGTCTGCAGCTCTTCTCAGACCAACAAAACTGTCTGTCCCCCAGGCTCTCTATGGAAGGTGAGACCAGGTCTCATACAGAAGGTACAAGGTCTAGGAGGTGTAGACCCTGA